TACAAGCGGCGAGGCAAAAAGCAGTGTAGACGCCGCAAAGATGTTGCAAGAGACGCACGATCTGGCAATAGACTCGAAGACGGTCAGGAACTCGTTACGATCCGCGGGCTTGATCGCCGTGCAGCAGCCCAAGAAACCCAGGCTCTCACCGAAAAACATACATGATCGTCTCGATTTCGCGAGGTCGCATGCCGACTGGACACTGGAGGACTGGAAGCGGGTGATTTGGTCTGATGAGACTAAGATAAACCGTTACTGCTCCGACGGACGTGCGTACGCCTGGATTCGCGAGGGCACCAGCCTCCAGAGCCATCAAGTCCAACAGACACTTAAGCATGGGGGCGGTTCTGTGATGGTGTGGGGTTGCATGACGTATGAGGGGGCGGGGTTCATGTGCAAGATAGATGGCAGGATGGATGGGCCGCTATATCGCAGCATCTTGCAGGATGAGCTCAAACAGACCATCGATTTTTTCAAGCTCCCCCCCTCAGAGGTGATTTTCCAGCACGACAATTATCCCAAGCACAGGTCCCGTCTGGTCCAAGATTTTACGCGGTACTGGAATGGCCCTCGTCCTCCCCGGACCTTAACCCAATAGAGCACCTGTGGGCACACTTGAAAAGGCAGCTGGCGGCGTACGAAAAACCACCTAGTGGAATGGTGGAGCTGTGGGAGAGGGTGCAGGAGGAATGGGACAAGATACCGGTGGAGGTGTGTTCAAACCTCATCGACAGTATGCCGAGGAGGATCAAGCCAGTGATTCGCGCAAAGGGACGCTGGACTAGGTACTAGTTTTTCAAGAATCTAGTTTGCTGCCTGTTCTCGGTACAAATTGTCCGGATGTGCTCTTATGAGATATGCTTAGGTATTTAAGGACCATGTATTATACTACTCTAGTGTTTGTCAACTTGAATGAGTGCTCTAAATGATCTTCTCCACGTGTATGCACATAAAAAATTAAGGCTTAATGTTTACGCCGCTGCACTAATCAAAATGCAAAAAAAGACTGAACATGTGGTCATTTTTTTCCGTCACTGTATGATTCGAGGGGCGCAACTGTACGCCGTCCGATGGATTGCATCAACGGCTGTCGACCTGCCCGCCGACATCGACAAACTCTGCGCAGCTGTCCCGGATGATTTGGCCACAGTGATTCGAAAGCACGCCGACATTTTTCCAGACGACCTACCGGCGGGTTTACCACCTGAAAGAGACCACGACCACAAAATCGAGTTGGAGCCCGGTGCGCAACCGACTGTCCGAACTCAATGGCGGCTGACTCAGCCCGAGCTGGATGAACTTCGACGCCAGCTGGACTATCTGCTCGAGAAAGGTTTCGTTCACCCCAGCACTTCCCCGTTCGCAGCTCCGATCCTGTTCACCCCAAAAAAAATGGCGGTCTACGCATGTGCATTGACTACCGCGCCTTGAATCGGGTTACCATCAAGTCTCGCTATCCTATCCCGCATGCCGACGAACTCATCGACCAACTTTGAGGAGCCAAGTTCTTTTCGAAAATTGACATGCGCGGCGGTTACCATCAGATCCGCGTGCACGAAGCTGACTGTTACAAGACAGCATTTCAGACCCGGTACAGGAGTTACGAGTACACGGTTATTCCATTTGGCTTAACAAACGCACCTTCGACGTTCCAGTTAGCCATGAATGAGGTCTTTCGGCCGCTGCTGGATAAATGCGTTATCGTGTACCTCGACGACATCCTGATCTACAGCACTACCCGGGACCAGCATTTGAAGATTTTGGAAGCAGTTTTCTCTCTCCTGCAGCAGCACCGACTAATCACCAAGGGCTCTAAGTGCGAGTTTCTAAAACAAGAACTGGAGTTTTTGGGTCACGTCATCTCCATCAATGGTGTTAAAATCGACCCTAAGAAGATTGCGACCATCCAATACTGGAAGCCGCCGGCTAATCTCCGGGAACTTGAGAGTTTTCTGGGTTTTGTGAATTACGTTCGCCGGTTCATTCCAAACATGGCGGGGGTAACTTCCCCTCTTACGGATCTCCTGAAGAAAGGCAAGTTTTATGAGTGGGGGGGAGAGCAGCAGGCTGCGTTCGACCAACTCAAACTTTTCCTGACTACACCTCCGGTTCTTCGAATTGCAGATCCTCACCGTCCGTTCGAGCTCATCACCGACGCTAGCGACCTTGCTGTTGGCGCAGTACTATTACAAGACTTCGACGAAGGCCTTCAACCCATCGCATACGAGTCACGAAAGCTGAACCCGGCCGAGCGAAATTATCCCGACCACGACAAGGAGTTACTCGCCACCGTTCATGCTTTCAATGTCTGGCACTGCTACCTGACGGGCGCTGACGTGACAGTCCGAACAGACCACAAATCGCTATAGGTCATCCGCGCCCAACCGACACTAAATCCCCGACAAATTCGCTGGCTCGATTACCTCAAGTCAAACTTCCACTATAGAGTCACCTACAAACGGGGAGTTAGCAACATCGCCAACGCCCTGACCCGTCCTTCAGTCCACACCGCCGCAGTCCTGATTACCCAAGCTAATCCGCTGCTAACTGGCCTATTCACCCACAGATACAGTACTGACCCATTCTTCACCACTAACAGTCATCCCCAACTGACGGTCAAGGAAGGGGCCTAATACCTAAAATCCGGTACCAATCGGATTTGGGTTCCTGCCTACCGTACCCGATGCGAGCTACTGATACAGGAGGCACACGACTCGAAATTCTCGGGTCACTACGGCATCGACATAACAGCCAAATTACTGAGTCGTAATTATTACTGGCCCAATTTGCCGACAGACGTGCAGCAGTACATCACCTCCTGCGCCACGTGTCAACGCATGAAGTCTTCACGGCTTCGACCTGTGGGATTGCTGCAGCCGCTCGAACCACCCAGCCGACCCTGGCAACAAGTGACGATGGATTTCGTCACTGGCCTGCCATCTGGTTCAAGCGGTAACGACGCGATTCTCGTCGTCGTTAACCGGTTGACCAAGATGGCCCATTTCGCCGCCTGCAAAACGACAATTACTGCCGAGCAGATAGCGAAACTGTTCCTCACGAACATCGTGCGGCTATACGGCATTCCTTCGGCAATCATCAGCGATCGCGACCCACGGTTCACGTCCAACTTCTGGAAAAAAACGTGGCAGTAGTACGGCACACGTTTGCATCTGTCCACGGCGTACCACCCGCAATCGGACGGCCAGACTGAGCGCACCAATCTGACGATGGAGCAGCTGATTCGCACGACGTGCACAGACCCGGCCCAATGGGAAGACTCCCTTCCTTTGATCGAGTTTGCGTACAACAACGCCCCATTAGCCACGACTACTCAGTCCCCGTTCTTCCTCAATTACGGGATAGACCCGACAACCCCTCTATCGCCACCGATAGAAAATCCGGCACCACGATCTCAACAGTTCGTCGAAAATCTCCGACAGTCTCAGCAAAAAGCCGCTGATGCCATCCTCAAAGCCAACCAACGGGCTAAGCAGCAAGCTGACCGACGACGCTGAGACTTAACTCTTGCCCCTGGGCAATTGGTCCTACTCGACACCAGAAATTTGGGAATTCCCCTCCCAAATAAATTACGACCAAGATTTTGCGGCCCATTCCGCATCATCCGCATGGTGATACCAGTCACCGCCCAGCTGCAACTGCCGATCGACTAGCAAATTCATGATTCATTTCACGTCGGTCTCCTGCGACCGTTCGTCCCGAGTACAACTAATCTCGACCATCAACACATCAATCCAACGGTCAACCCAGTACCTGAGCCGACGATCGAGCCATCGAAGATTCTCGCTCATCGCGTACGAGGTTATCGTGATACGGCAGCCGTTGATTTCCTTGTACGATGGGTTGATCGCACGACTGACGACGATCTTTGGGTCCCCGCAGGTATGCTCGGCGAACACAAAGTCGTTCTGGACTATTTACACCACGACGTGTCCCGGATGTGGGTAGTCTCATCCCGGAAGGGGGGGTGGTGTAAGGAAATTCCCTTTTCCTTACTGGGCTCGACTACAGCGCGTACGCGCTCGACTCTCGGAAGTCCAGGCTCGGCCAACTTCTTCGGTCTCGAACCACTTCGCGAACCCAAACCTCGACGCGCAGCGCTTCCGTGGCTTTCGCCAACCGAATCGTCCCAACCTGTTCGCGTGGTTCTCGGCTAGCTCTGTTCGTGCCTATAAATGCCTAGGCCCTCATTCGTAACAACACTCTTGAATCACGACTCCTTTATTACACTACCTGTTATTACTCTGATTAACACCTACATTGCTGATGTTACAAGCATTTTGCTTCAACTCACTTTTCCAATCTCGAACAAGCATAGCCCCTCACTTATGAGTATCTTATGTGCATAGCCCCCAACGTCATATAACGTTGATTTCCTTCTCAAACGACTGGTGAAATTGTAGCAGTTTGTTTCATGAGCATCCCAGTTTGGAAACCCCTCAAAACGATAGACTGGGTGGATGAACTTGGGTGGAAGAGGCCAAACATCTCCGCATTTTTTATTAGCAATCTAGGCTAGGTGGGTGGACAGGGCAAGGCAAGATGGTTGCCTTGCCTAGTAGCTAGTAGCTACACTACCGCCACTCCAACTTGCATCGTCAGAGAACGAGGACCGCTTTCCTTGTCGCAGGCTAACTCTTGCAGCTAAGCAGGCTTGTGCCATACATATCATCTTAGAAGCTCTTCTTTGACCAATGGCAGCTGCCAGCTTGGGCGAGGGAAGGATTACCCAGGAGCAAGCCCCCATGACGACATTTCGGGAAGACCATCCCAGCATGAGATGTACAGTGTATGTGCAGTGCAGACCAGAAGGAAGATGGCGGGATGGGAGGGGAAATCTGCTGGTTCTGAGACGTCTCTACACTGAACTTGTATCACATGAGATGTTCAGTGTAGTGTGTGCAGATCAGGGTGAGGCGGGAGGGGGTACCCTGTGTATCCTGGGCATGTGTTTGTGAGTCTGAGATTGAGAGAATACTTCAATTGCAACAGAGAGCATATTCAGAATCAGAGCATTTGGCAAAATGGCATGCCATCTACTACCTAGTGACACACAAGAGTGCTGCCCTACACTATTGCGGGGTGGGTAGCACGCCCCAAATCAAATGGCTAGCAATCGTGCCCCAAGCCAATGGGAAGAGTACTCCTTAGTGGGAAAGTCCTAGTTGCGGGGGCGTTGCGCCTTCTCCCCCTTCTTCCCCTTACCCGCCTTCTTCCCCCTTTGCTCCCACTGGCGCTGGTGGCCGGGCGGAAGCACAGTTGCGCCAGTGCCCTTGCGCAGCTGCCCGCGCGCTGCCCCGTTGTTGTATTTCGGGGTTGACACAACCAGGTAGAAGCTGCCCGGGTCAGCCAAAACTTTCCCGAACGCGATGGAAAGGGGTTCGCCAGAGGGTGTGCGAATGCTGGCGACGTCTTCCCACACCCCATGTGTCGCATAGCTGAGGTAGTCGTCCGAAGCCTCTGCGACAGCCGCCTCCGCTGAGTTCTCGGCGACGGAAGACGCCCGAACGACGTCGCCAGCCCGCGTGCGAATGACACCCGTCGTATTCACCCACGTAGCACCTACGAACTCGACCACCACGGGCCCAGTCGCGTTGCTGCTGCCGTTGTTAATCGATACAGCGATCGGCGATCCAGCCACGGACACGTGTCGCAGAGAGACGATATACTTAATGTTGATCTTGGGCCCGTTCTTATAGACGGTCAGGATCGCGTTGCCCGTCGCGTTCTCGTCGCCAGGGGATGCGCCGACAACGGACGATCCGCGGAGAACGGTCCCCACCTTCGCCACCTCGCGCCCCAGCGGCTTCCGCTTGTGCTCCGCGGAGCCAGGAGCGGGGCTGGGCGCGGGAACAGAGGGGGGGGCGACCGCGGGAGTGGAAGCGGGGGCAGGGGCGGGATTGGAAGCGGGGGCGGCGGCGGAGGGGAGGGCAGCGGGGCTGGGGGCGGGATGCGCCTTTGGCCCGCCGCGGATTGTGCCTGCTCCGCCTGCGCCTTGCCGCTTTCCGCCTCCAGGCTGCTTTCCGCCGCCGGGCTGCTTTCCGCCGCCGGGCTGCTTTCCGCCGCCGGGAGCGGCCTTTCCGCCGGGGGCCTTGCCCTTGGGAGTGGGAGCGTTCGCCTTTGGCTCGAGGGTGCTCGCTTTGGGGCTGGGCACGGATGAGATCGTGGCGAGATTCCCCGTGGGCGCAAAGGTTGCGGGGATGGGGGTGGTTTCGACGGTCTGCGGCTCGACCGCGGGGATGGCGGGGATTGCGGGCTCGACTGACTGCAGCTTTCTAGCGTCGGCTATGCCTGAAGAAGGGGGAGGGGCAAACACAGAGGTAGTTAGAAGGGCTCTCTTCATGGATTTTCTGGAAGATTTTCTGTGGCTAGTCGAGGAATTCTGTGAAATTGAGTTGACGTGCAGCGCATTTTCTGAAGAACGAGGCGGATATGCGGCAGGGTCTCGGAAAATAAGCACAGGAGGACTTACATGAGATGGAGAGAACTGCCAGAAGCGCCGATAGGAAGCGAGTAGTCGACATCGTCTCGGATGTTGTTATGTAAGCAGCAGTAATCGACTAGGCACCGTAATGCAGAGAGAGCTAGCGGGGCTTTGAAAACGTTGTTGGAGTTGCTGTGAGAAGTTGTGTCGATGATCGAAGGACGATTGAGGATTGGTGAACTGAATGTGGAATGAGTAGGAGATGGGGCAATTTATGGGGATTCCGACCCAGGCACTTTCTGCTGTTTTTGGCGTTGTTGGCTTTGCCATTGTTCGCAAGAGAACCGTGACGAACCGCGACATTTGAATTTCGGGACATCTGGCTCGGATGGGAATAAAGCGGGATTCGGTGAATGGGCGGTCTCGATTTGAAATTTTTGCTTGTAATTTCCCCTCTGCGAAGCTGCCTGAAGCTGACGGCGACTTTGTGCAGGAGAGTAACAGGCGCTGGCGATTTTCGTATTGAGCGTGGCGAAAGCCTCAGGTTCGCCTAGCTGGACTTGACGGCCAGCTCATCCACACAATGTCGCCAGAGACCGTCCAACGGACTGTCGAAATTTCATGGCGTAAGCACCGCAACCGACGGAAAAGCCAACGGCCCCAGAAGACGCCTGCACAAGGTTCCAAATATTTATCGACACCGTCCGTTGACGTTCTCAAAACCTCCGCAAATCGATCCATAGCCGTTCAAGTTTCTCATCCCCACAGCAAACGAAATCAGTTTCGTTCGTCACTGCGAAGCGGTGCGCGACAAGTGAATGCACAGCGAAGAACCAACCAGCTCTCTGCAGCTCTCGAGTCAAATTTCGCTCTCTGTCGCTCTCTGTCGGTCACCCAAAACGCAACGCCTTTCTGACAACAAAAGCAGCGCGCGAGACCGAGAAACGAAATTATGTTTAGGGAACCAAATTTGACCGACCCCGCTCTCTCGCAATTCTGCCAGCCCAAATCTGACCAACCCTAGCCATTTGTGCAACATCATTTGCGTGAACAGTCGAGTCGCATTCCTTCGAATATCCAATGTCGCTTCTCGCCTCCAGTCTTTCCCGAACATCGCCAATTTGGCACAAGCAAAGCCTACAAATTTCCCCGTCGTTCTCATTCCAACCATCAGACACTCGCCGTTGCATTCGAGTCTCGCAACAGAGAGCACATCGCCAGCTCTCGCAAAAAGATTCGTCTCCATCTTTTCTCGCAACCCTGCCAGCTCAAACTACGGCAGCACAGCGCACTTCTTCACAGTCCGAAGTTGTTCGAAAAATACTAGTACTTCAAGCTATGTCGACCACTCGCTTTCTCTCGGCGCTTTTGGCGATCCTCGCCCTCTCATGTAAGACCCTGTCTCCCAACATTCGCTTTCCGCCATTCCTCGCTCGACATTCTGCTTCCTCCACTACTCCGTATAATTCTTAAGGAAAAAGAGAGAGGAAAGAATGATATTGCACTTTGCACTAACCCTCCCCTTTCTTTTTTTCGCTCTCTCTCTCTCTCTCTCCCTTTTTCCAGGCCTAGCCGACGCTCGAAATCTCCAAGTTGTCAACCCCGCAACCCCTAAAACGACCACCCTCGCGCCGATTGCGACCGCTCCCACCCCCAAGGGCAAGACCCCCGCGGCTCAGGCTGCACCCGGTGGAAAGCCGCAGGGTGCAGGCGGCGCAGGCGCAATCCGCGGGGCGCCTAAGGCGCATCCCGCCCCCATCCCCGCGGGCTTCGGGGAGTACAAGGGAAAGGTGCTTGGGCGGCAGGTGACGCAAGTGGGGACTGTTCTCCGCGGGTCGTCCGTCGTCGGCGCAACACCCGGCGATGCGGAAGCGACGGGAAATGCGATCCTGACCGTCTATAAGAACGGGCTCAAGGTCAACATTAAGTACGTCGTCTCTGTGCGACGTTTGTCCGTGGCGGGACCGCCGACCGCCGCGTCGATTAACAAGGCCGCCAGCAACGCGGTTGGGCCCGCGGTGATTAGCTTCGCAGGAGCTGAGTGGGTGGACACGACAGGTGTCGATCGCACGAAGGCTGGCGCTTCCGCGCCTGCGGGTAACTACATCAGCTATGCGACGACCGGAGTGTGGGAAGACGTCGCCAAAATTCGCACGGTCTCTGGCGAGCCCCTTTCGACCGCGTTCGCGAAAGTTATGACTGCCCCGGAGAGTTTCTACGTGACTGTGTCGACCCCAAGTTTCCCCACCGGGGCAGCGCGCGGGCAGCTGCGCAAGGGCACCGGCGCAACTGTGCTTCCGCCCGGCCACCAGCGCAAGTGGGAGGAGAAGCAGAAGGCGGCGAAAAAGCCCGCCAACTGATAAACCCCATTTCTAACGAAAGATTTGCTGAGAGGATCCGATCTGATAACGCAGAATCCCAGCCCTGCCAGCCTTAGTTTAGTGGATTCAGTTAGCTAGCTGGCATGCCATCTTGCCAAGTCTACGACACGCGGTATTCAGGCTGTGACTTGTTGCTTATATTTCTAACTGAGTCTCGATTATTTTCTCCGAGTGCGAGTGCTGCTTTCAGTAAAAGACACGGACGGAAACATACTGATCTAATCGTGTGACACCGTGCTCGTGCGGCCGCTTTGCTAATACTATGGCATGACATACAGTTATGTTGTGTGGCGCAAATAGGAAGAATCGGAATGTGAATATTGAGATAAGAACACAATGATGCAACTGGAAAATAAACCCATATCTAGAGAGTGCGCTACGCCAGGAGAGGTCTGTTGAGGCTAGGCAGAGTCGATACGTGAGGCTCAAAACGAAAGATATTGGATGCAAACTGCTCAGGTCCGCACCTCATTTTGGCGCGCGCGGACCGAGTGTAGGTGGCAGCAACTGTCAAACATGTGTATCTCCTATGTTTGCGTAGACTGTATAGGGCCACCTCTTAGAGGGTACAATACTTAGGTATATTCACCTGTACTCTCTCTCTACTCAATCATTCAGTTCTCACTTTAACATGGTATCACGCGTAGGTTAGGATCCCCCACCTACCGCTTCCGCCCGTACCCTAGCTAGGCCCCGTCGCGCCCCCTAGCCTCGTCGCGCCCCTCCTGGGCCCTGCCGCGCCTCCTAGCCCCGTCGCGCCCCTCCTGGGCCCCGTCGCACCCCTCCTGGACCCCGTCGCGCCTCCGGCACGGACAAGCTCACTGCCCGCACCCTTCCCTGCGTCTTCCTCGATTTTTCCCTTGACGCGTCCGACGGGCACTTCTACCACCCGCCGTCTCACCGCTTCTTTTACTCTCGCGACGTCACCTTTGACGAGTCCGTCTCCTTCTACCGCCACTTCCCCCACCGCGGTCCCCCGGTTACCCCCCCCCTGTTCCTGGTCACTCCTTCCCCGGTAGTCCCTGCCCCTCCCCCTCCTCCTCCTCGTCCTGCCCCCTCTGGTGTGTCCCACGTCACCCCCCTTCCTTCGGTTGTCCCGGTTGAGGAGTCTTCTGACTCTGGTGGTTCTGCGGTGCAGTCCTCGCCGGCTGCCCCTCCCCAGGAGTCCCCTCCTCCCCCGCCTCTGCCGCCGCCATCGCCCCTGCTGTCGCAGCCGTTGTCACCTCCGCCGCCGCCGCCGTCGCAGCACCCATTCGTTGACTCTGGGGGTGCTGGCGTTGGAGTGCGTGCTAGTCCCGGTAGCCCTGGGGGTGGTACCGGTCCTCGAGGGGTTTCGGGCCCTGGGGGTGTTCCCTCTGGGGGTGCTGGTGTGGAGTGTGCTGGTGGTAGCCAAGGAGCAGCTTGCGGTCTCGGTGTCGGAGTTGTGCCACCGCCACAGCAGTCCCCGCCGGTGTCAGCCCTTCGCCTGCTCAGCCTTCCGTCCCCTGACCCTGCGTCTGTTCCTCTCCGGCCGTCTCCTCCTTTTCCTGTCTACGGCCCTGTGTTCCCTCCGCCGGACTCGTCTTCGGCTCGTCTTCCCCCTCGTTCCCCCCCCTGTGTCCCCTCCTCTGTCTTCTGACCCGACTCCTCCGTCTCACGTCTGGTCTCGCCGTCCCTCCCGTGCTCGTCCTGTCTCCCCTGTCTTGCGCTCCCACCCTATGTTGCCTCGTTCCCAGGCGTCTCGTCCTCCCCTTCTCCCGTCGCCTCCTCCGTCCTCCCTTGTTGTTGCACCCCCCCCTCTGTCTGACTACCTTCGTGTCGCTCGTCCTCTTGTTCCTCGGGTCCTTGCCTCTCTCGTTACCAACCCGTCTGTTCCGGTCTCGTGTCTTGACGCTCTTGTAGCTGCGGTCCCTGACTTCGCCTCTACCGGCCGCCTTGACTACGCCACCGCTCTGGTCTCTGACCCTGCCTGTCCTCCGTCTGTCGGGGGTGCTCCTGCCCTCGGCAGTGACGTCCTGGAGGACCGCCAAATCGAGCTTGCTTTCCTGTCCGAGGCTGCTCCCCATCTCTGTTCCATGCTGCTAGTCCTTGAGGGTCACCCAGGCGCTTTCGACATCCCCACCCCTCGCACTTACGCTGAGGCGACTTCGGGACCTTGGGCCTCGCAGTGGATAGCTGCCATGGAGCAGGAGATGGCATCTTGGAGATCCACCGGCACCTTCGTCGACGCAGTTCCCCTGCCTGGGGTGAACGTAGTCGATGGCCTCTGGCTCTTCAAGGTGAAGCGCCCTCCTGGAGAGCATGGCTAGAGGCTTCAGTCAGCGTGAGGGGGTGGACTTCTTCCAGACCTTCGCTCCGACCCCGAAGATGACTACTCTTCGGGTTCTGTTACACCTAGCTACTCAGCGTGACTACGAGCTTCACTCCCTCGACTTCTCCACTGCCTTCCTTCAGGGCAGCCTACACAAACAGGTCTACTTGCGTCGCCCTCAAGGCTTTACTGGCACCTTCCCTCCTGGGACCCAGTGGCTCCTGCGGCGCCCCGTCTACTGCCTGCGCCAGGCTCCCCGTGAGTGGCACGACACGTTGCGTGCTACCCTTGCTGACCTGCAGTTCTTTCCGTCTTCCGCAGACCCCTAACTCTTCGTTCGTGCTGGCCAGACTCCGTTCTACATCCTTGTTTAAGTCGACCACCTGGTCTTTGCCACAGCAAACAGGGACGCACTGGCCTCAGTGAAGGCAGAGCTGCTGAAGAGACACACGTGCACTGACCTTGGAGAACTGCGCCGTTACCTTGGAGAACTGCCCCGTTACCTTGGCTTGCAGATCTCCAGGGACAGAGCAGCACGCACCATCACCCTGACTCAGTCACACTTGGTGCGCCAGGTCATTCAGAGGTTCGGCCTTCAGTTCTCCTCTGCACAGCCCACCCCTCTGCCTGTAGACCACAGACTCTCTGCTCCAGTTTCTGAGGAGTCGGTAGAGCCCAGCGGGACCTACGCAGAGCTGGTGGGTTGCCTCATGTACCTGATGACTTGCACTCGCCCAGATCTCGCGTACCCTCTCAGCATCCTGGCTCGCTTTGTGGCCACAGGTAGACACCGACCGCAGCACTGGTCTGCCGCTAAGAGGGTTTTGCGTTATCTTGCTAGTACATCAGGCATGGGGTTAGTGCTTGGAGGACGTGGGCCAATGGTCCTTACTGGACACACAGACGCTTCTTGGGCAGACGACGCCGAGACACTCAGGTCTACCCAGGGCTACTACTTCAGCCTAAGCATATTCAGCTGCGGTACTTCCTCCTGCGCGAGCTACAGCAACGACACCAGGCTCGCGTAGTACACTTGGCCTCAGGTGCCAACACAGGTGATATCTTTACGAAGGCGCTTGCGCCTAAAGATCATCAGCGGCACTGTGTACAGCTTGGTCTAGTTCCTGTAGCCTCTCACTTGCTAGGGCCTTGACTTTGTACTGTCCGTTATTTGTGTACTCAGACTGGACTTGTGTCCTCTCCCAGTGGTTGGACTAGTAGTGCCGCCCTGGTCCTGTTCTTGCCTTGTCTGTACTCGCCCCTACCGTTCTTCCGGCCCCTCGCGCGCCGCGCTGGCCCCTCGCGTACCCTCCCGCCCCCTAGCCTGCCGTGCCGGCCCCCTTCGCGCCCGCCGGCCCCTCGCGTACTGCCAGCCCCTCGCGCGCCCGTGCTGGCCCCTTGCGTACCCCGTCGCCCCCTAGCCCGCCGTCTCAAAGTTAGAATGGTTGACTAGAATGGGAGCATACAGGGGTATATAGCTAATGGGTTGTACTCTCTATGGCATGACCCTATGTAATCTACTAAACATACACACATATGTTTGACACATCCCCTAAACTAGATAGGGGCAGTGCCTGGTGAGAGACAAGCAACTCAGGGCGGCACTACTAATCCAACCTCTAAGGCAGGGGTTTAAAGACCAGTCAAAAGAGTACAAACAAGGTAAGATCAAGACCAGAGCGGCACTACTAGTCCAGCCACTGGGAGAAAGCCACAAGGCCAGTCAGGATAATATAGAAAAGAAGGTATACACACTCAAGGTCCTAGCAAATGAGGTGCTACAGGCACGAGACCGAGCTCTATGCTGTACAGCAGATGATCTTTAGGCGCAAGCACCTTCGTAAAGATATCAGCTGTGTTGGCACCAGAGGCCAAGTGTACTACGCGGACCTGGCGACGCTACTGTAGCTCGCGCAGGAAGAAGTACCGCAGCTGGATGTGCTTCGCTCTGCCCTCGAGTCTGGGCTCCTGACATAGGAGGATCATGGCCCTGCTATCAGCATGCAGGACCAGGGCAGAGCTAGGCCGCTCACCTAAGTCTGTGAGCAAGAAAGTCAGCCAGCGGAGCTCCTGTGCCGCCATGGCACAAGCGTAGATCTCACCCTCACAACTAGACTGGGCAACAGACGATGAGCGGGTGGACCTCCACGAGACAGCACCTGCACCAAGGCTAAAGCAGTAGCCCTGGGAGGACCTGAGAATCTTGGCGCCATCCGCCCAAGAAGCGTCTGTGTTCCCGGTAAGGACCACTGGCCTGCGTCCTCCTAGCACTAGCCCCATGCCCGATGTACTTGCTAGATAACGCAGAACCCTCTTAACTGCAGACCAGTGCTGTGGTCGGTGTCTGCTGGAGGCCACAAAGCAGGTCAAGATGCTGAGAGGGTATGCGCGATCTGGACGAGTGCAAATCATCAGGTAGATGAGGCAATCCACCAGCTCTGCGTAAGGACCACTAGGCTCTACAGCCTCCTCCGGGACTAGAGCAGAGAGTCTGTGGTCTACTGGCAGAGGGGTGGGCTGTGCAGAAGAGAATTGAAGGCTGAACCTTTGAAGGACCTGGAGCACCAAGTGTGACTGTGAGAGAGTGATGGTGCGTGCGGCTCTGTCGCTGGAGATCTGCAAGCCAAGGTAGTGGCGCAGCTCTCCTAGGTCAGTGCAGGTGTGTCTCCTCAGCAGCTCGTCCTTCACGAAGGCCAGCGCGTCTCGGTCTGCAGTAGCAAATACCATGTCGTCTACGTAAACAAGGATGTAGAGCGGAGTCTGGCCGGAACGGACGAAGAGCGAGGGGTCTGCAGACGACGAGAAGAAATACAGGTCAGCAAGTGTAGCACGCAGCGTGTCGTGCCACTCTCGGGGCGCCTGGCGCAGGCT